ATTTATACTTTTCTAACTAACAATGGGTTATCTACTTTATAATCGGCTATACTAACCCTAAGCTTTGCTAAACTTTCTATACTTTTTCAGATACACATAGTTCCCTTATTAGTACTCGAGCCTTATCTATAGTTTCTTACCTTGCAACACTCAATATTTCATGCCAGACTTTCAGATTTTTGGATTCTAGACCATTACACATAAATTGCATTACCCACGTGATCCATAACAATATATGTTAATAAAAGATGTGGTCCTATTTACAAACATAAACTCAACCTGGCAAAAACAGCACCCAACTCAATCTTACACAACCCACTGGAATATAGATTCTTCTATCTCTGGGACAGACAACTCCTACTTCATGTCAACAACTGGTACAAAAGAATAAATGGACAAGATATTATAGGAAAAATCATCAACATGCATCTATAGAAAGTGCAAAATAGATGATGATCAACCAAATCTATAACAAGTACACAATTCACAGACCCATTCCTATCTCAAGGACACAACTTTACACATGATCTTTTCTTTCTCCTGAGACAACATGGATATACAGAAATAGTACAAAACCTCCAAACCTTTAAAAAAACAGATATAACTATCGAAGAAATAACAGAAACAACATGGTACAATAAACATAAAAAACAGCTGGCAACAAACCAAATCCTCTTTCTGAACCAAATTATCAACTACACAGGATCCAGACTAGCAGCATGGGTGGAAATAATCATGGTAAATAAGAAACCCAACAGAAAAACACCCAACTGGTTCAAAGAAATTCAACAAAATCAAAAAATCTTAACCCTGATTGAAAACAGACGAAAACACACACAAACCAAAAAAATTAACCACAGATTAGCAATAGAAATACCAAATCAAGAAATTAAATAGACTGCATCACAAGGCACCAATACAAGCATAATCAGCAGAAAGCATGCTATACAACAAAATACAATCCAACTTCAACACTATATTAGAGCCAACAACAACTGCTCCCCTCTTAAAGAATATGATGGATATTCCTTGAACACTTCAGGAAAACAAGGAGAATGTATCTTCTACAAAGAAAAGAATAGCTTGATTAATATCACAGTTCACAAAAGCAAAAATAGCTCAAGAAACTCACCTTTCAAAAAACTATGTCAAAGAAGCAGAATATCACTTGACAGCCTCAACAATACCCTCAATGACAAATTTACACATCCGAATCTCCCTTAACCCCCAAACATCCTCAACAATCAAATAGTAATCAACAAAACTATTATCAAAAGATATCTTAAGACAACAGAGCAAACAATCGAGGAACTGGCAACAATACGACACAAAATAGGAAATCTCCACAAAATCTCAGTCTACATAGATGGATCTTTAGACTCAAACCAGAACATAGGATTTGGTTGGCACATTATCCAAAGACTAGATACCAGCTTCCAAGGAAAAATAAAGAAGTTCCTATTTTTCACAAAAGCAGAGCTCACTGCAATTCTTATTTTCCTCACAACAGCACCTGCCAACTGCACAATCACCATCTGCAGTGATAGTCAAGCAGCCCTGAATGCAATCAACAAGGCACAAATCAACCCAGCTGATCTGCGAATACTCAAAAACAACAACTTAATCAACTCCATAATCCATATCATAGAAAAACAAAAACTCACTATAATTTGAAAAAAAATTAAAGCTCACAGTAACAACAAATACAATGATAGAGCAGATCTCCTGGCAAAAAAAACAATCATATCAGGAAAGGCATCCGAAATAGCATACATACTAATCAGAAGCAATACAGTAAGCTGGACACAAGAATGGAATGGACACAATCTTGATAACACAATTACATCATCAATCAAAAACTTAATCAGAATAAAACATATCCTCAACTGGAGAAGCCTTGATCGCAACCTCACAACAACTAACAGCACCTACACATTAAATGACATTGCATGTGAGATCTTATTCATCAACAGGGTACCCTCCAAACTTACAACAGGACCTACCAACTGAGAGGATCACAACAATAGATTCTTCAGATATAGACTCTAGAACCTTGAACTACCTACCAAGGACAAACTACACAGAAGAGCGGTAAACACCTATACGGACAACCAATGTCTCAACTGCCAACAAACAGAAATCAATACACACTGCATAATATGCAGGGGGAATGGAGCAGACATCTATAAAGAATTACAACAAATAATAAACGAAGAAGTCAGTAGTAGATCAAATATATCCACACAATACAACCTCAATAAAGAACTTAACAAACAAGCAAAACTTTGGACAAATGAAGTCAAGGACTACATAGCAAGAGGCACCCTTACAATGAACTTAATAAAGAGTATAAAAAAATATATACCGGTAGAACATCACAAGAAAACTATTAAAAGTATTATCAACAGACTCCTCAACATACAACAAGGAAAATGGAACCATAGATGTGATAACTTTATACAATGGGAAAAGGAATACAACATCATCACAAAAGACAAAAGGCAATGGCAACCCATAATCATGAAAACGAATACACACAAATTCTGCATCCCAGGAATCAATGCAATAATAGCACATGCTAGCTACCACTGGATTAACTGGAATACAATTTACTTATTTAAAACAAAATTTTTATAAAACAGGTAGAGCCTTGACAAATTAGTCAAGTATATACTAGTACTTGACAATAAGCCGCATGGTAGGAAGATTTTCTTAGTGAGTTTACTTAGATAGATAGAGTGATAAATTTGTACATACTCATCATAAAAACATCTAATAAACAAGGTGTAAGTTATCCGTTCAAAAAAAAAAAGTTTGCAAAGATCAATTTTTATTGAAATTACAATAATTACATGATTTCAATAAATCAAATGAAAAACATATCTAGGGTTTCTTTTACAATAATCATATTCAAATATAGCATTCAGTATAAAAAAATATAGACTTGTTATACAATGCATATATTTTTTTATTGAGAGTTGACTGTGACTTCAATTCAAAAAAATTCACACATAAGTTTATTAATTTTTTTTACTTATTGTTGATAAATAGTTTCTGAATTTTTAATAAATGGTTAATGAATTTTTAGTGAATAGTTTTGATGAATAGTTGTCAAATTTTTAATAAATAGTTGATAAATTTTTTATGAATAATTTTGATGAATGGTTGCTAAATTATTAATGAATTATTAATGAATTTTTGACAAAATTTTGATAAATAATTAATAAATTAATGTCAAATTTTTATTAAATTGATAATAAATAATTTTGAGACAAACTTTTAATGAATTTTTCTAAATAGTTAATGGATTTTTTTGAATTTTTTGATGAATTGTTAATATACTGATTTTTGTAATATTTATAGTCGAATTATATAGTTACCAATTTATTAATGGTATTTTTTTGCCAAATTGGTTATTTTTTTGCTGAATGTTACATGAGTGGCAGTATACCAAATAATTTTTTTTGACTAGTGAATATTCTCTTAATTTCACTCAAAATCATTTTAAGCGCATATGCATACACGTGTTGTAAGGATGTCGCACGAGTGACGCATCCTCTACGGTCTAAAATTGAATTATTTTTCAATAGGTTAATTAAATACTTATTTACAAATTCGAGGATTTAAATAAATCTCGGGTCATTTAATTAACATACTGTAACATTATACGACCAATCTTTTTAGAACTACCAAACTATTGTATACATTAAGCGCATTTATTATCAATATAAAGCAATTTTAACCCTTCATCAAATTCTCGGTAACCCCAACTTCTCGCAAATATCGTTACACCTGTGTTTCTCGATAAAACACTTCTCAATTCCTCTTTTGCCTAAATTTGTTCTTCCAAATCTCAATGGATCAGTACAATGTATTGCTGGATCGGTTAAGAGAAACTGATCAGTATTTTCAATTCCTTGGAGATCACAAATTACTAAATACCCATCGGTGTACCAATATGAGAAATGAACAAATGCCTCTAGAGTGGGACGATGTTCCACAATCAATCCACTATTAACATTAAATCGCTTAAATTTTGCGCCCTGAAGTTCCGGTTCTGTAATATAATAACGAGTTCTACCATTCATAGCAACACGCACAAGTTTAACGTCAAGAAAATTTATGGAACAAATATTTTTTCTTCTTGCAGCTGAATTAAATCTTATAGAAAGAAAACTCGCCACTGAAGAAATCTCTATAGCTTCAAGGTACTTTTCAAAAGGATTTCGCGAATCATTTTTAAAGTATTCCTTCATTACCATTCTCCGGGGTGGATTTCTCTTGGTATCAATGGAAAAGTAAGCATACTTTTCAACACCAGAAGAGAATGGTTGTTGTGCGATTTTGAAATAATAATTTCTAGAATGGAGTCTCTCTTTGCAAAAATATCTTCGATCTTCGAGTTCATTCTGAGTTCTGGGGATGGTATAACTTAAAGTTACCCCTCTTTGTGCTAGAAGATCATTCCAATTAGGGACAGAAGGATCTATATCAACCCTTCTTTCTTGGGAAGAATATACATCTCTGGTTCTACTTCCTAGAGCGCTAGTTAAAGAAATAGACATAGTGATAGATGATGTTGTAGCCTTAACGAATTTGTTAATTAATTCTATTGGATCCCCCCCTACAAGATCACAAATTTGGATTTCACCAAGTATACTACGAAATACTTCAATCATTTTATCTGTAAATCCCGTAATTTTTCCGAAAGAATAAAGAATTCCTTCCGATTTCATCTTTTCTAATACAATTTCAGCTGTCAAACCATTGGGGTCACCGCCGGGATAATCATCTGCCATGTCAGTAAAACGACGACCGTGTGGAGGACAATCGCCAATATGAAAAAGAACTCTTGTACAATCTTTCCACGTCATTTCTGTAATTGCAGCATAAAGACCTCCGAGAACATCTTCTGGATCATCACCACCACCAGTAGCTGGTACACTGGATAAATTTGCTTGAAATCTTCCATACAAGTCTGTAAAATCAAATATTTGTAAACGAGAGGCGCCGTCACAATGATCACGATAGCCACAAAAGCCGACTCTAATTTTTACACATGGATTTATATTTCTAATATATTCTGTCACTTGTAGAATACAATCTTTTGCAGCAGCGATATGACCCGCCATGGAACCTAAATAAAATTATAAAGTTAAACGTACGTATTCATCGGTAGTGGATACAACATATAACGTGACATGCACAGACCGGTACAGTCTAAAACATAACAAAGATCAACATTCATTGAACGTTCGATGTTAGCTAGTGCTTTGGACATTGCCCTTTCCCGCTTTCTAATTAATCCAGAAATCCTTTCTCCATCAATAGGAGACGCAATAGGTGTGTAACGTGGAGGTTGAGGTAAGGATGAAATTTCATTAATTACGGTAGCGTCATTAAGTGAGGTAGATGTCAAAGAAGACAATATCTCATTAGAATAACGATTAATGCGATCTTCAGCGATGTTCAAGTTATCAAAATCGTTTACAAACGAAGGAGGGAGAGAGGTATCTGATCTCGTGATTGTTGACTCGTTGGTGATTGTCACGGTGACGATTTCTTCATCTGAATCCTCGGGAATGGTTTCTCTATATTCCATGACTTTCCTTTAAAAAATTATTCAAGTTTCCAAAAGAATAAATGTTGCTAATAACTGTTGTATAAATATCAAAAGAAACTTAGCCGGAGTGTTTTCAATTGAGATCCGAACCGGTACGAAATCTTAAACATTCTTGCCATCCAAGACGATCAAAGCCAGAAATGAAATTCTTTGATGGAAATTTGTCAGCATTTGTCGGTGTAATATGCAATATATTTAATGATGGCACAAATAAATAAGCAGTTATTGTTTCTTAAAATATACTTATGAACTCCTAAATAAGAGACAGATACAATGGCTCCCATAATTAGCGTATCACTTGATTGAAAATTTTTGAAGCATGATACAACGATACAATTTATCAATAGAATTCATTACGCTAACTATTTTTTTATCTTTTTTTTACCGATGAAATTCTTTTGACTAATACTAAATTATATAACTGCGTACTAATTTATGAAAAAATTATATAATACAAAGTAATCTAAAAACCTTATATTAAACATTTCTACCATCTAGTATATGCTTTAATAACATCACGAACTCTTTGTGGCATCTTATCAATTAGCTTATTACAAAAATCAATTTCAATACCTTTCCATACAGTTTTTAAATTTTCCACAAGTCATTTCTATTGGATAGAATATTAGGAAGGTGCCGTAAACATCTATCAACTTCATTTCATAAATGTTCAATTAGATTCAAGTCAGGAGATTGTGCCAACCAATCCAATACATTGAGTTTTTGTGGAACTAGTCTCTGGTTACTTTGGTGATATGTTTAGGATCATTATCTTGTTGAAAGATAATTTGATTCTTTTCAAAACTTAATTAACTAAGAGTAATTAAAAAAACATAGATTCAAAATTTGTCAATATATTTCTTTATCTATTCTTTATTCAATTAAACAGAGATTTTCTATATTACAAGATATTAAAATACTTTAAATTATTATATTACTAACTCTAAATTTAATGCTTGGAATAATACGCTAATCTAATAAAGATGTGTTTAGTTTTCTCCAATTATATTATCTTCCATTGGATTTAAATAACAAAAATTTGCTTTTATCTGATAGAATTATATATTTTTAATTATCTGTAATCTAATATTTATATATTTTTTGTTCAAATAAATTATTTTTTTTGATAATTTTTTGGAGCAATGACTTTTTCTATTTAATTTGAGCAAAGAAACCATTATTTTTAATACACACTATATGCTATTTGCAGAAATATCCAAATTATCATATATTAAAAGATTATTTTATACTTCAATAGTATTTAAACATTTATCAGATTGTATTAAATAAATTATTTTTTATTTATATTAATTGATAATCAATTATAAGTGACTAAATCTTAATTTATCTTATAAACTTTTAGTTTCTTCTTTCTTTTTTCATAGTTTTATAACTAATACCTTCTCAAAATATAATATCTAATAAAATATCCTTAGAAAAAAATAAATCAATTTAAACATGTTTTTCTAAACTTATATATAATACAAATTAAAGAAATAATCAAAATATTAATTATATAAAAAAAATTTATAAGTCTATAGTATAGTGCTCCCAGATTGCAATTACAAGATCTAGAGTTCAATATCACATGAGGTCAAGCAAAAAATACTGCATTACAATGAATTCAATATTTTATTGATGACAGTAAAATATCATTGAGTATAAACCTGGTTATCTTACCAATAGCTAAAATAAAAGAATCCATCATTATATAGTATTACTTGTAACTGATCTTTACCAGATCAGGCTGGTCTACAGGTGTTGTGAAATGATCAGTATCTTATCAGTAACTTGATAAGGTGAAGAAGGATGGGATTGATCTCATAGTTAATCAAAATAAAGACTAGATTGATGTCAAGTACCTTAATGATCTTATCAATCACAAAAAGTTGTTGTAAGTCAAGAAGGTTGAAGTTTTAAAAAGAGTAAACTTTTTACTGATAGGATGCTTAAAAGTATAGCCAGTTGCTACAGCTTATTATCAGGAAACCTTGGTAAAAGAGGGAATTTATGGATCAGTCAAAGTCTTAAATCCAGAAACAGATTAGAGCAAATGCAACAGTCTGATAACAAGATTACTCTATAAAAGTGTTTTGGGAAAAATTAAGAGAGCATCATATGGTTTCCCTTAATGGACTAGTTAATATATATAGGTTGTGATACATTTACTATGAATAAAAATCATCATATATATAATATTATTTCTATATAAATAAAAACTATAGTATACAGGACCTACGGGTCCATAGTGCAGTGGTTAGCACTCCGTAGGTCAGATCACAAGATCCAGTTTCAATTCCACCCAAATATAAAACAGATCGAGGAATTGAATCCATCTATTGGCGTAACCATAAACTAACTGATGTTTCTAAATATACCTTCCGGTCTATATCTAGATTGTGATCAGGTTTTGATCCAAATTGGATAGGATTATTATTGACACAACTGCGTTATCAGAAATGGTAGCAAGAAAAGTAGATCCCCAAACTGGTAGCATGCCTCTCAGGATTAAAACAAGAACAAAACTCGTCCGGGGACACAAATGGCTTAATACAAACTCGTGTTCAAGGAAAAAGGACTATTTCATAACAAGCCAGTCCCGGTCCTCATGCATGTGGCTGTGCCTGTCTTTCACAGACTTGACTATCGGGAGGCCTTGGTGGGAGGAGAAATCCGTGGATCACTCCGAAGAATCAAAATCTGGGATCCAGGATACTGAATTCGACGGTCTGATAACTAGAATACTTTTAATAAAAAATTGTTCTAGGAATAATTAAGAAGGAATTGTGCAGGCTTCCAGTTTGTGGTTGGGCTGGTAGTGGTGATACATAGCATTAGTTAAATATATATATAGTTATCCATATAGATATGATTTACTATAACATATATATAAAACTACTCATTTGTAATAACATAACAGTTTCAATTTAATAAAA